ACACACATAGTTAGGTGCAGTAAAAACATTTAATCAACCTTTAAAAAGCACCAAAACCTTTTATAGTCTTATTTTACAATCACTTTTACAATCCTTATTTTATATTAATACTACAGTAAGGCAACAATGCAACAGTGACTGTTATTCCAAAGATACCAGATTTGTCTTTTTTGGGCTTACTGGACTTGTGCTAAGCACAGAGTAGTGCATTATTTAGTGACCTTCCAACTGTTAAGACCTTCTTGTGAGCACTGACATTGATTTAGTTTTGTTATTATGTATGTGGTTCAACTCTACCACCTCTTCAGGCACTGCCTAAGAATACAAAGTAGCTTCAGAAGAGTATGATACAGTGTGAATATCTTTTAATGTATTACTGCTTGGTAATTTTAAACCAAAGCACTAATTTTAGTGTTCTTTCCTTTTCAAAATATCATTTGAAATAAAAAACCAAATCTCATACTCTGCAACAGTTTCTAGTCTACTGTCTTGTTTTGTTCCATACAGGTTTTGGATTTAATTTATCTTCATAATATTTGACTAAGATTTTCCAGAAGTATGTTAGGCAGTATGTCTGTCTTGTTATCTCCTTCATCTCTTGACAAATATAAATGTTTGTATACAAACATTCTTTGCTTAATTAAGAGGAAACACAGTTGTTCTTCTGTGTTTTAAAGTTTTCTTCAAAATGTTTATATCTATTAAGAAGTTAAAATTCTTCCTCGTTATTCCAAAGTCAAAATTAAAATGCTTCACTTCTTTGCCTTATCTAAAAATACAATTGTAAGAAAGTGAGTTGTCAGTATCAATTTTATTTGGTTTATGTTTCTTCCTATTACTTTTACCAGGACAGTATTGTGACCGTATTTGTTGGTCTTGAAATTATGTATTTAATTTTATAAAACACTGATGTTGCTGAACTGATTATAGTCAGCATTTCTAATGCGTTTACTATGCAATAAAAAGTAAAGTGGTACCACGAGGTAGCATTTTATAACAGTATCTTGTATTTCCTGCCAACTCTGACTTCTCCCTTCCGTGTTACTGACTTTCTGACATTTTTAATTTGGAAGGGAATATGTTGGGTCTCCTTTTCCTACCATATAACCTTTCTGGCATTATTACACCCTGGCTGGATTCACTGAACCTAGACTACATGGATAACATTGCTGCACTTATTCCTTTATAATTTTAACTTTCATTTTGTAAAAGTGTCTTGAACCCATGGTGGTGGGTCAACTCAGGCCAACGGCCAAATGCCCACCCAGCTGCTTGCTCATTCCTTCTCCTCTGTGGAAGAGGGGGAGAAAGTAGAATGAAAAATCTCTTTGGTCAAGATAGACAGGAAGAGCATTTGCTGATTACCATCATGGGCAAAATAGACTTGACTTAGGGAAAATTAACTAATTCTATTGCCGGTTAAAATAGATTTGGATACTGAGAAACAGATGAAAAAATTCAGCCACGATCTTTTTCCCACCACTTTTCCTAAGCTCAACTTCACTTCTTCATTCCCACCTCCTCAGCTGCTCCCTGAGCCCTGCCCTGTGGTGGGTGTGTCAGTGCCACTGGAACAGGCTGTGTCTGGCACGGCACAGCCCTGGCATCTCCTCACAGAGCCCCCCTGCAGCCCCACTGTCCATATGGGGATACCCAAACCCTGTACACGATTGTCACCCTCCTGATTTCACATCAGGGCATTTGTTAACTCCATGTGCTGCCAATGCAGCAGCATTGACTACCTGCAGCATATTGACTTGTTGAATTTTCTTCAACCATACTACTTGGCCTAAGCTTGGATTTTTTTTCAAGGAACAGGCCAAATGTCTTTCCACTTCTCAGACTAAAGAAACCTTTATGTAGGGGTCAGAGATTTAAACAACTTGTTAATTTTTTAATTACATAAACCTCACAACCTGATTATACAGAAAATTATGAAGTAAAGCACATTGGCTGTTTGAAGTTCTTATATGTAATTTCTTAATTATTTACTTTTTTAAATAGAATAATTCATTATTTGTCTAATTTTTACATTTACTCATAGAAAATATTTCCAATTAGTCTTTGTTGATCATAGACTCCAAAATTCAGTGATTCTGTCAGTACAATGTAGAAAAAATTGGTTTACTGTCTTTTATAAACATTTTGGTCACATTTAAAAGCATTTGATGTAGTAGTGAAGGCTTCATTGGAATTTAGTTTAGCACAAGTCATGAGGTGGTGTGGCTGGGCTACAAGGAGAGCATCAGTTCATTTCAAGGCCTGGTGCAGATATTAATGAAGTTTAGGAAGACCAATTCAGCAACTGGAGACAGAAAAGTGACTGCAGTGTAATTTAAACATATACAATTTTATGCTAAAAGTTTCTTCGATTTTTATCATGGGTATTTTCCCTCTTAGATCAGTTTATATAGAGATACACTTATAGATGAAATACATAGAATTTCTTGTATTTATGTTTGAACTGTGTTTTCATGTATGTAGTCCAATATGACTATTGTAACAACCTGTTTCATTTTTTGAACATAGAATCATAGAATGACTTAAGTTTGAAGGGACCTTAAAGGCCATCTAGTTCTATCCCCCCTGCTATGGGCAGGGACACCTTCCACTAGACCAGGATGTTCAGAGCTCCATCCATCCTGGCCTTGAACCCTTGTAGGGATGAGGCATCCACAACTTCTCTGGGCAACCTCTTCCAGTGCCTCATCACCCTCACAGTATAGAGTTTCTTCCTAATATCTAATCTAAATCTCTTCCTTTTTAGTTTAAAACTGTTTCCCCTTGTCCTATCACTAACTGCCCATGTAAAAAGTTGTTCTCCCTCATTTTTATAAGCTTCCTGTAGGTACTGGAAGTCCCACTAACAGGTCTCATAAACTAGTGAGACTAACCAGTCTCACTAACTTCAATTCTCTGTGCCTGTCTTCATCGAAGAGGTGCTACAGCCCTCCAGTCATCTTCATGGCCTCCTCTGGTCCTGTTCAAACAGGTCTATAATGATCTCCCTCAACCTGCTGGCCACATTTCTTTCAGCACAGCCCAGGACACAGATGGTTTTCTGGGCTGTGAGCACACACTGTTGGCTCATGTTCAGCTTTTCATCCATGATAAAACCCAAGTCCTTCTCTTCAGCACTCCTCAGTGACTTCTCTCAGTCTGGGATTTCTAGTTTGATGTACTTTAATTAAATTTAG